CAGCTGGTAGTTTTGAACTGCTATCTTTAAGGTTCGCAGCCCGATGTTATATAACCACTTCCTATTTATATTGTTGAGAAAAAAGGTATTTCAAAATGAATTAAGTTGTTTTGGTCTTTTCAAAATTATATCATGTGATCTCCTGCATCATTTCTATCACCAAAGCTATAGGAGTTTTCCAACTACCAATCCTTCCTTTGTTTCCAGCTATCACATTCCAATCCCCAGTAATTAGCAGTGCATCTTGATTGCATATTTGATCAGTTTCATACTGATGTTGATAGAAATCTTCAACTTCTATATAGTGTCTGGTAAATTTTTTTTTTTGGGTAAATTTTTATAGTAGTCACATCAGCTGGTTGTCTTAGTTATCTAATGCTGCTCTGGCAGAATTATCACAAATCAATGACTTTGACAACTAGAAATGTATTCTCTCACAATTTAGGAGGCTAGAAGTAGTGGCTCTAGGGGAAGGCTTTCATATTGTTGGTTCTGGGGAAAGGTCCTTTCAGCATCTGTAGGCCTGTATTAATTGGAGATCTACATACATCTTGGCATGAGTCTTCCCCTGAATCTAGAGCTTCACAGTATAAAGACCCCAGGTCCAAAGGACATGCTTCACTCCTGGCTCTTCTTTGTTGGTGGCAATGGGTCCCTCTAAGTTCAACTTACTTCTGTCTCTTTTTATATCTCAAAAGAGATCTACTCAAGATACAACCCAGTCATATACATTGCATGTGACCTTATTAATGTCGTTTTTGTTAATGCCATTGAGTCATTTCCAACTCATAGCAACCCTGTAGAGGAATGGCTGATGGATTTGATCTGCCAACTTTGTGGTTAGCAGTATGTCCAGTGCTTATACTACAGCACCATAACAGGACTCACATTAACATTGTAGAAGTGAGGATTTACAAAGCATAGGATAATTAGATCAAATCCGAGCTGGTCACTTCAGATCACATCATGGGGGTGATTGCATTGTATTCAATCTCGTCTTGGAGGTGATGACTACAACACAGCTGCCAAACAACTAATAATTTTGGTCACAGCAAATTGACACAAACCCATAACTATCATACTGGTCTTCCATATGGGTGTATGGATATTATCCTATCACTGGTAACATTGTATTTCAAGATTTGTTGTTGTTGTTAAGTGCCATTTCTGACCTATAGTGACCCTGTGTAGGGTTGCCAAGGAGCGGCTGGTGAACTTGGACTGTTGACCTTGTGGTTCAAACCAACTTTGTATGTAGTCCATCGTGTTAACCCACAGCACCACACCAGAACTTCATATTTCGAGGTAGATCTTAAAATTTTCTTTTTCTGTGATGAATGATGTAATTCCACTTTATTCAGTGGTGAACGATATCATTCCTGGCATGGTAGACCATATGATTGCCTAATTCATAATGGCCAGCACCAGTCCTCTTCAGGTCACTAATTTTAAGCTTTTATTGTGGATTGAATGATAGTTTACAGGGTAGAGCATTGATTTTGCACTCAACCAATTGTATTTTATTTCATTGTAGTGGTTGGAATAGGATATAATCTTATTTCTTTTCATTTTGACAACTTCCAATTTTCTAAGATTCATACTTTGTATATTCTACTTCCTGACTGTTACTGATAATTATTGGATGTTTGCATCTGTTTGTTCTTATTTTGAGTATTGTCACCTCAGTGAATGATGGTCTTAAAATGTTTGCTCCATTTACGTCATTAAGATTGACTCTACTTTGAGGAGTTAGTCATATTTTGAGCGCCTCCCAATCTGAAGGGCTCATTTTCTGGCACTACATTAGACATGGTTCCACTGCTATTCGTAAGGTTTTCAGTGGCTACTTTTTTAAAGAAATCCCCTCTTCCTTCTTCCTAATCTGTCTTAGTCTGGAAGCTCTTCTGAAACCTGTTTCCTAGGAATGATCTTGCTAGTACTTGAAATACCAGCGGTAAAGCTTCAAGCATCACAACAGCATGCAGACTACCACAGTATCATGCAATGACAGATGAGATGACAAATTCTAGGCCCAGAGAATTGTTATTTATTCCTTCTCTTCTTTCTTTTATCCTGTGCATTTCTGCTACTTAATAGTGATTACTTTAAAAATACATATTTGAATTCTTGGAATATAATATTCCTTTACTTTGCTTTCACATTTTTCTGGATAATGTTGATTTTTGACTGCCAGTGTTTTTGTTGTTTGTTTTCTTATTACTTATCTCTTGATATCCTTTTTCCTTTTTTAGTTTCATGTGTGTGATCTTTTGGCTGATTTCTTTGTATTCTTTGCACATCTTTGAATAAGGCAACATTTTCTTGCATCAGCTATGTGTACAAAGTTAAGTCAAAATGTATTGCTATTAGGGTTCCAGTTCATACTTGTATGGGTTTATTCCAAGGAAGATGTGTTTAGACATGTCTCTGTGATCAGTTGATGGCTGCAGACAAATTCTCTCTCTCTCAGTAAAACACTTGCTTTAATCTTGTTAGAGTGCCTTTTAAAAAAAATCTAATGAAAACAGTGATTTCTGAGGAAATCTGCTGGGCTCGTTAAGTTCATTGTAGAGAGATCAGTTCAGATAAATTAGCTTAAGATTCCAAAGGGGTATCACGATAGATTTTCTTAAGGAACACAGGATGATATGCAGTATTATTATGAAGATGTGTAAACAATTTGAACACTGCATTAATGAGAACAAGACCCGGAAAGTTATGTTGAAGAACTTTTTCCCATCATGGCTTATTCTTCTATGGTGACAAGAGCTGTCCTATGAGAAATTTATTAAGAAACTTTCCTCCCATCCACCCTCTAGACCTGATCCTGCCCCTTCAGACATTTTTTTGTTCCCAAAGCTCAAAAAAGGAGTATAATTTTGACTCCTTGAGGGTGCCCAAACTGCCATTTTGAAGTGGTGTAAATCAAAGAGCACAGAATTCACTGGGGAAGGATTAGAGAGATGGGAAAACTGCCTTCAGAGTCGTAGATGGAAAAACGTTGAGAAACAATAGCTTCACTTTTTAATACTGTTATTTAGTATAGGTTTGTATGATTTTGTAGCTGTGCTGTGTAACTTGGAGACCTGTTGTGGCTCTGTGGGTTAATGCACTGGACTTCAAAGTCAGTTTGAACTGCAGGGTTGGTGGTTCAAGCTCACCAGCCACTCCTCGGAAACCCTATACAGGATCGCTGTGGGTCGGAACTGACTGAACAGCAATGAACAACAACTGCATAACTTCCCCTCATGTGGTTGATTCCGTGAGTTTCAGGGGAATTCTACTACTGTGGAGTCTTTCACCTTTTACCTTGGCTGCAAAGATGTTGTGTATGACCTGCTCTGCTGTTGCTCCGCAGTGTTGCCTGGGGCCAGGGAGGCCTGTGCAGCCAACCTGACAAGGGTTTACTTACTTTGCTCTTCTTTGAGAGCTCTGTCATCTGCCTGTCACCATGGGTATTCTGTTTTGCTTTCCGTACTCAACATGGTTGAATTTTCATTGCCCTTGACAACTTGCTTCAGGTACATTGAATTTCAGGTGTTTAGATTTTTTTTTATTTTTTTTTTATGTTATTGAAAATAGAGTTTCCTTTTCATTATCTTGTCTTCTGTCCTGTTTTGGGGTTAGTCAGTACCTCAGTGGGTCCGTATTATAAGTACTGGACTATGAACCACAAGGTCTGCGATTTGAGGCTGCCAACCACTCTGTGGGAGGATGAGGCTTTCTGCTTCCATGAAGATGCAAAGCCTCAGAAACCCTGTACAGGGTGGTTATGAGTCAGGATCAACTTAATAACAACAAAGTAACAACCAAAGGATTCAGATACATCTTTATTTTGCCATTGAAAACTTTAAAGACCCACAGTCAGCTCTTTTTAATAGACCATTGTGAGCATGCCTATCTGTAAAAGAAGAGCGTTATATCACAGACGAGCCATCATGGTTTGGATTTCATGACATGAATATAGTGAATGTTTTCTTACAGACAGAACCTCCACTGAATACACCTGAAAATAGAGAGTATCTTGCGGAGATCATGTTTGAATCATTTAATGTACCAGGACTCTACATTGCAGTTCAGGTAAAAACAGTCATCTTTATGATTCCCAAAGAATCTTTACTAGTAGGGGGGAAGGGATGTTCACTTCAAAGTTTCTGTGTGTTAAACTTATGCAGTGTGTTCTTGAGATTCCTGTTTCCAGTTGTCAGCACACGTATGCACATGCCCACACACATATCCAACAGACCTACACATCACACCACGTACACAGACTCCACCTTCATACCCCACACATCACACCATACATACAAACCTCACGTACACATGACATCACACACATACGCTCATCATATCAGGAACACACATGCTACAAGTTACGCCTTATGTCTCACATGCACCTCCTATATCTCCTATATAACCTGCTCCCATACACCACACATACACACACATACTCAAAATCACCCCACATCATACCCCCCATAGTTCACTGCCGACCCACATACCCCACACTCCACATATATACATACACATATCCTTACATCCCACATGACGCCCCAACCCAGCCCCCACACTCCCCACATACACACTACACAACACCACACCATACTATACTTGCATACACACACACAATTTCTCCCCACATACATACACTCAAGCATCCACTGTCCCTGCCCTGCACCATTCATGTTTTAACAAAATGCTGTAGAGGTCATGTTTCATGATTTATATTGGTATAGAAAGTATTTGTCTTTTTACATACATTAAAGTGTTTTTCTTTCTCTGCGTGACAAAATAGAGGTATAGATGTAGTTTTCTTCTTGGTTCCTTTCTTGTATTTCGGATGAGAAAAAAGATACTGTAGCGTATTTTGGAGTGTTGCTGTGGTGCTGCGGGGTAATGTGCTGGACTACAAGACCGGCTTGAAGCACAAGGTCGCTGGTTTAAACTCACCAGCTGCTCCGTGGAAACCCTCTACAGGGTTGTTATGGGTCAGAACCGACTTGACGGCACTTAACAACAATAACAACATAGAATATGTTGAAGAACAAAATACAAACCTTTAGAGTGTTTCTGCCTTATAGATTTGGGGCTTCTGTAAATTCCTGTGTACTATCTTGCTTCTGGAGTGCTGGTGTGCAGTTGTAGGATAAGCACTGAACTGAAAGGTCAGTTTGAACTGCAAGGTCGACAGCTCAAACCCACCAGCCTCTCCTCTTGGAATCCCTATACTGGGTCATTATGAGTCGGAACCGACTTGAGGACACTTAACAACAATAACATCTGACTTCTGAGAGCCTGAAGAACTTTTGAACTGTGGGATTTTTGTTTTGTTTTCGTTGTTATTTGTCTGTCACCTTACATAGGGGAATTGATTGGAATTGATGGGAATAAACAAATAAATAAGTAAACAAGTCTTTCAGAATGCTTTTTACATAATGCTAGTTCTTTCTGAAACAGAGGTGGGACAGTTTCATAGTAATATTAGTTTAGGAAATTTTACATATCTTACCTTCCTCTTGGTCCTATTAGCTCTGAGCATTCCTGAATTAAAGAAATCTGTTTGTTCTGGCACTTTCAAATTTCTTTAAACACCAATATTTCACCCACTACTAAATTATTTACCTTCTGTGGAGTTAGGAGATATTTTAGAATATTCTAGATTGGTGGTTCTCAGAGTGATCTATGCACCAAGATCAACCCAGAGAGTGCCTTTTAAAATTGCTTTATCCTAGATTAGATTTTCAACCCCTATGCCTTGGGATGGATAATTCATTGTGGGAAACTGTCCGGTGTATAGAATGCTTAGCATTGCCTCCAAGTCTAACAGTCAAAAATATCTCTTAATTTTACCAAGTGTCCCCTGAGGGCAACATTGTCCCTAGTTGAGGGCCACTGTCCTAGATCTCCCTGATTAGAATTTCTGGGTGTGAGGCCTACTAATTTGTATTTTTAGAATTTCCACAAGTGATTTATTTTACTGCAGCCATTCTGTGGATCCACATTGATATCAGTAGGTTTGGTTTTACTAAAATCTTCTGTTTCTTTAATAAATTGAGAGTAAGGCAGCACCCACTGCTTTTTGTTTTCAAAACTTTAGATTTCTTTATTGAAGGGTTGACTCCCGGAGTTAAAGTACATGACATTCGTGTGAATTGTGTTTGAATCCTTTAATGTACAACAATGCTGCATTGCAGTTTAGGTAAGGACAGTTATCTTTATGATTCCCAAAGAATCTTTACTAGTAGGGGCAGTTGTCTAAGATGGATTGCAGTTTGGCAGGGGGTTGGGAGTGATGGAGGATAGGGAAGTGGGATGTAGGTTCTCTGACTTGTTATTAAACCAGAGTTTGTGATTGAAGCAGGTAAAGCCCCTTTAAACGTTCCCTGGGTGCTAATGGCTCAGTGTCTGTGCCACAGGCAGTGCTGGCTTTGGCGGCATCGTGGACATCCCGGCAGGTTGGGGAGCGCACACTGACAGGGACAGTCATTGACAGCGGAGATGGGGTTACCCATGTCATCCCCGTGGTAAGTACAGTACTCACTATTTCATACCTTTTTTGAGGCACCTTTCTACAATTAAAGTATGCTTTTTGAAAGTAATAAACTAAAAACCGAACCCACTACTGTCCAGTCTGTTGTGACTCTTAGTGGCCTTATAGCAGAGTAGAAGTGCCCAATAGGGTTGGCAGAGCTGTCAGCTTTATGGAAGGAGTCCTGGTATGGCCCTACTGTAGGGTAAGCACTGGACAGCTCACTGCAAGGTTAACCACACATCAGTAACCCTATGCAGGGGCACCGTGAGCTGGAACTGGCTTGATGACACTTAACAACAGTCTTTATGGAAGCAGACTGCCACCTCTGCCTACCACAGTGGGGCGGGCTAGTGCGTTTGAACTGCTGACCTTTCAGTTAGCAGCTGAGTGCCGTAACCGTGGCTTCTTTAAGTAATGTTGTTGTTACTGTTGTTAAGGGCCTTGGTGCTGTTGTTGTTAGAGGTCTTTGGGTGGATTTCAACTTAAACCGATACTGCTCAGTCCCATACCATCCACACAGTTGTTGCTGTGCTTCAGCCCATTGATACATACACTGTGTCAATCCATCTCCTTCAGGGGCTTCCCCGCTTTTTTTTTTTTTTGCTGACTCTCTACTTTACGAAGCTTGATGCCCTTCTCCAGGTCCCATCCGATAACATGAAATGAAGTCTTGCCACTCTAGCTTCTAAGGAACAATTGACAGTACTTCTTCCTAGGCAGATTTGTTGATTCTTCTGGAAGTTCATGGTATATTTAATAGCTGCCAACACCATAACTTTTGCTCTTTATTCATTATCCAGCTTTCACATGCAAGCGAGGTGATTAAAAATGCCATGGCTTGGGTCATTGCACCTCTTGAAAGTGATGTACTTGCTTTTCAATAGTTGTTTAAGGAGGGTTTTTTTTTGTGTGTGTGGTAGATTTGCCCAGTGCCATATGTTATTTGATTTCCTGACTGCTGCTTCCATTGATGTTGATTGTGGATCCAAGTGAAATGAAATTCTTGACAGCTTCAGTCTTTTCAATTTATGGTAATTTGCTTATTGGTCCAGTTATGAGGATTTAAAAAAAATGTTGATGGTAACACCTAATGAAGGCTGTACTCTTTGATAGTCATTATAGTAAGAACACTTACTGAGTTAATTTTAATCAAGGTCTCTTTGCTGTCAGCAAACCAAGTTGTGTCACCTGCATATTCTAAGTTGTTAATGAGGCTTCCTCCAAGCCGTATGCTACTTTCTTCTTTATATAGTCCAGCTTCTCAAATTATTTCCTTAGCATACAGATAGAATAAGTATGGTGAAAGGATGCAACTCTGATGTACCGCTTTCCTGATTTTAAACTGTGTAGTGTCCCCTTGCTCTGTTCAAGCGACTACCTCTTGGTATTTTGGAGTTCCCATTAATTTGGTATGATCTACACAGTTGCATGTCTTTGCAGTAAATGAAACACAGATAAATATGTTGCTGGGTATTCTCTGCTTTCAGCCAGATACATCTGCTATCAGGAGTTCTGGTGTGGCACTGTAGGGTAAAACACTGGAATGCAAGGTTGTTTGAACAAGGTTGGCAGTTCAAGCTCACCAGCCTCTCCTTGGAAACCCTACACAGGGTCGCTATGAGTTGGAAGTGACTCCACAGCACTTAACAACAATAGCAAAAACAGCCTTTGTGCCATGTTTTCTTCTGAATCTGGCTTGATTTCTGGCAATTCCTTATTAATATTCCACTACAACCATTTTTGAATTATCTTCAGCAAAATTTCACTTGCGTGTGATATCAATTGTATTCTATAATTTCTGCATTCTGTTAGATTGCATTTCTCTTGAATAGGGACAGATGTGTATCTCTTTTAGTCGCGTGACCATGGAGCTGTCTTCCAATTTCTTGGCAGAGATGAGTGAGCATTTCCCATGTTGTATCCATTTGTAAAGTTACCCAACTTGGTATCCTGGAGCCTTGTTTTTCACCACTGACTTCAGTGCATTTTAGCCTGTGTATGTGATGGAGAGAGAAACAAATAGCCAGTACATGGTTTTGGAATTTCTAATTTGATGGTTGCAGATTTTCCCAGCCAGAATAGCAACAGTTTTTGAATGTCCAGTGCTCTGATTGATTTTCCTGGTGTGACACTATCAGGAACATTTCCTTGCCTGTATTTCTCAAGTGTTGGGAGGTAAACATATATATTTTTTTAAAGTTTTTATTGTGAAATATGTGGGTTTACATGGGAGAACATCAGTTTTACAATCATCATATCATATTGCGTTTCACTGCGATGATTACAGTTCCCTCCATGCATCATCAGATAACCCCACAGGCCCACCCCACCCTCCACAGCTGTCAACACACAGCCCCTCTCCCTCCCTGAGTCCTGCGTTCCCAGCCGGTCCATCTGTCCACGTCATCATCTCTGTCTCCATGCCTGGCGTCACTGCCTCTCAGGGTAGGGTCACGCTCTCCACTCTTCTCACTTGATGGACCAGGGGCCTCTGCTCCTGGGCTGCAAAATCAATCACTCCCCTGCTTTTGTCAAAAAACATCTACCTCTACATTTCCGACCCTCACAGTCAGTCCTGATGGCAGTTATTCACTATTGTACCACAAGAGTCTTATCCCCATTTCCTTTCACCAGTCCAGTCCCAACAGATTGGAAATCATTCAGTGGAGGTTCTGCCTACCCCTGCCCCATCTGAAACTAGGCTCCCTCTTGAAAGCTTGTAAGCCAGTCACTTCTTGCCTTTATAGTCTTCCTCTCACCCCCCATTTTGGGTAACCAATGTCTAAGTAGCCCATCCTTGTCAACCCTGTGTACTGAGGGGGTGGGAGTGATCCTTGCTGTAAAGATTTGTACCCTTTTTTGAGCTACTACATCCATACGTGTAGGTAAAGTTCATCAAATTGTAGTGGATTACTCTTTTTTTTTTTTTCTTTCTTCCCTCTTCTTTCTTCTTCTCGTCAAGTTCTGATCATCCAGCTATCGAAGCCAGGTCAAGTGGGTACTATCTGCAAGTAGGTGTGTTCTTGTGCATCTTCCCTAACTTCATATCAGCTGGACGCTTCATTCTCTACTCTAGTCCTCTGTGGCCATGTCACTGCCTCTGGGCCCAGGAGTCTCTGGGTCTTGCTGTAACTGTTGGCCATCCAGGTCTCCAACTAGGTTCACAGGAGTCTATTGAATGTGGTCGGACTTAGATCCCAACTTCATTGCTGTTTTTTCCTTCTCTTCCCCTTATTGGTGACCAGTATGGTCCCCAGCCACACCACATGCTTGCTCATGTATTCCCCTTGAGTCTTAGTCTTGGAAGGGAGTTTGCTCTGAGGGGACCTGACCACTTGCCTTTTTGGCTCCTGGGCAAACAAACAGCTTATTTGTAGTAATCAGTCATACTATCATTATTGTTTCTGATTTTTCCTGCTGTTCTTTCTTCACGATGTGTCTTCTGCTCTTCTACCTGCTCCAGGCTGGTCTACTCGTCCTTTCCAGTGGAAATTTTCCCACCTCAGACAGTTCTGGATAGGATTCTGATTTCCACCTGTGGTTTTATGAAATGCAAAAGCTCCACAGGAGGTCTCTTTCACTGGGCAATTTCTAGCCCCCTTTAAGGTATTCCAATCAGTTATAGGCTGAAGACAGG